AGGTGCGAGTGCTGCGGGCAGCGGAGAAACAATTGTCGAGGTGAGAGGGTGCAGATTGTGACTGTGGGTCGGTACAGGTGAGAGTGTGTGGGCAAGGCACTTGGGGGCCTTATACAAGTCGGAGTTGGGGATAGCTGTGATGTGGGAGAGACAGAGGCAGAGGTGCGAGTGCTGCAGGCAGCAGAGAAACGACAATCGAGGTGAGAGGGTGCAGATTGTGTGCGATTGGGCAGGTGTGAAGATGGGTGAGTGAGTGAGAGTGCGGAGGAGTGAGGCTTGAATGTGGGGGGTTGGGAACTGCTGTGGGAGAGGCAGAGGTGCGAGTGCTGCAATTCAGGCAGCGGAGAAACGACAGTCGAGATGGGTGGCAGAGATATTTGAAGCGAGATGTGTTGCCTTGCCTCTGCCACATCCCGGCTGCTTTTGAGAATTTTTAAAAAGTGTTGCCTCTGCCACATCCAAGCTGCTGCAGCAACTCTTTCTCTTGATGACACAATTGCCCCTTTCCTTCTACTCCCTCCGCCCGTGCTGACTCGCAGTGAGGTGGCAGCATGCGTTTCTTGAGAATTCTAAAAAAAAAAAAAAAAAAAAAAATCTCTTGATGATACAGCCGCCCCTTTCCTTCTACTGAGGTCGTTTTTGAGGCGCCTCAAAAACGACCTCAACTCTTTCTCTTGATGACACAATTGCCCCTTTCCATCTACTCCCTCCGCCCGTGCTGACTCGCAGTGAGGTGGCAGCAGCAGGCGCCACGAATCGCAGGGTGCTGCAGCAGTGGGAGCGAATTAAGGGGTTCAATGATGAGCGCAGCAATAAGTGGGCGGAGTACGAGCTTATAAGGAGGATAAACCAGGTATCTTATGTCAATGTCCCTTGCTCCTGTCTGGGAATATTTCATGTCACCTTTGGGAAAAGCTATAAAATAAAAATACATGACAGTTTGCTATATTTGTAATGGTAAGATCCAGAGTTTGCTTAGCTATTGGGCGTCATTGACTGAACCAAGGAAAAAGAAACAAGCAGACACTCATCCTCTTCCTCTGCAAACTGTGCCCACATGTGGGGTAATATCAGCAATGGGGAGGCAGCATCAGCAGTGCACGATGTATCTGATCCCGCTTTTGGGTCGACTCAAAAGCAGATGTATCTAGACCCCTCCAAACCCATCTGTACCTCGTGTTTTCTGCACACTTCAAAACTCCCTCACACCCGCCCTTACCTTCAAGCCTATGCGCACATCTGGTGGAACCCCACGAATGGGGCTACTCAAAAGGCCCTGGAAGGACTCACCCACCCCATTGAACCTCTGACATCTTTTACCTCTCTTTTATCCCATTCTGACCTCGCCCCACTCTTTCGTCCCCTTTTCCCTGCAACCCCACACCACGTCAGGCCTACGCCCACATGTGGTGGAACCTCACCACTGGAGAGACAGCATCAGAAGTGCACGATGTATCTAAACCCCTCCAAACCCATCTGTACCTCGCGTTTTCTGCACCCCTCAATTCTCCTCCACAACCCCCCTTCCCTTCAGGCCTAGGCGCACATGTGGTGGAACCTCACCACTGGAGAGACAGCATCAGGAGTGCATGACGTGTCTAAACCCATTCAAACCCATTTGTACCTTGCTCTTTTGCACCCTTCTCCCTCCTTTGTCAGGCCAATGCGCACATGTGGTGGAACCTCAGCAATGGGATGACTCAGCAGGCTTTGGCAGGAATCACCCATTCACCCCCCTACCTCTGTGCTTCCCCACACCCTATCAGGCCTATGCGCACATGTGGTGGAACCTCAGCAATGGGCAGACTCAGAAGGCCCTGGCAGGACACGCGGCAAAGGCGGGAAGCGCTCTGATTGGCTCGGTCCGGGCAGCTCGGGACCTGGCCGCTCACGAGGTGACAGCTGGCATGGCGCTGCCGCCCTCCTGGCTGTGCCGCCCGGTCTCCTGTAGCTTTCCGTTGCGTAGTGGGCCACTTCAATCGCCTCAGATGTCTCAGAACCCTTTGTTGCCCTCCGATAGAGAGGCACAGGCACAGGCGCAGGCACAGGCACAGGCAGCAGCACGAAGCAGCTTTAGCTTTCCATCGGCTGCTATGGAGGGGGAGGGGGAGGGGCTGGGGCACGAACAGAGACAGGAACTGGGGCAGGGGCGGGAACATTCTGCCGCTTCTGCTGCTGCTGCTGCTGCTTCTGCCGCTGCTGCTGCTGCTTCTGCCGCTGCTGCTGACACAGTACCCTGGCCCCTTCTCTCCTCTCTCGTTCACTCTCTCGCTCTCTCCCCCTCCCCTCTCCCTCTCCCTCCACTCCCCTCCTCTTCCCTTCTCTCCTCCTCCAATGCACCCACACGTTCTTCTGATAGCGACCCGATTCTCCCATTGGCTGCTGAGGCTGCCCGGGTTCTTCGGGCAGCTTGGGAAGCCAATGACGCGGCGACAGGTGGCAGGATAGATGGGGGGATTGGGAGTGAGCTGGCTGCCTATGCGTGGGGTTGCACTGGGGGGGGGAGTGTGGAGAGGGGAAGGGATGGAGGAGAGAGGGAGAGGGAGAGGGAAGAGGGCAGAAGAAGTGGGCTTGAGGGGGGAGGGGGAGGTGGAGGAGGAGGAGGGAGGGGTGTGACGTCAGCAGTGTCTCTGAGCGCGGATTTGCAGGCCGTGGCGCAGTTTGTCGATGCCATGTCAGCAGCTGCTGACGTGGCAGCTGGCAGTGCTGCCGAGCTGGAACCCGCTGTCGCCAGCATGGCACGGTAAGCAGGTTTGCTACATGGGGTGCGTAATGGTCTGGTTGGGTGCATGGGAGTCACTTTTGAGAGTTTGCTACATGGGGTGCGTAATGGTCTGCATGGATGCAGATAGGTATACATGGGAGTCACTTTTGAGAATTCTCAAAATATGGATGCAAATAGGTATACATGGGAGTGCAAGGATGCATGTGACTTGCAGCAGCAGGCAGGGCAGCAGGCAGAGCAGCAGGCAGAGCAGCAGGCAGAGCAGCAGGCAGAGCAGCAGGCAGAGCAGCAGGCAGAGCAGCAGGCAGAGCAGCAGGCAGAGCAGTAGCAAGTGGAGGTGCCATGAGAGTGGCTGTGCCTCAATTAACTCGCCCTCCCCTCTCCTGCTGTTCATCTTTCCCTGTCCCTCTTTCTGCCCTTCCTCCCATCCAGGCAACTCCCCGGGCTGCAGCAGCAGGCAGAGCAGCAACGCCTGGAGGTGCTATCTGAATGGCTGCCACATCTGTTCCTTTCCCCTCACCCCTCACTCCCCCTTTCCCTCCCCTCCCATACCCTTTTGGTTCATCCAGGCAACTCACTGGGCTGCAGCAGCAGGCGGAGCAGCAGCATATGGAGGTGCTGTCCGACTGGCTGCCGCAGCTGGCACAGCTGCAGGGGCAGTCAAGGCAGCTGGTCGCACGCACTCAGAACGCCTCAGAACTGGTGAGTGATTCGCCTGCTTGCTTTGAGATGTCTTATCTGGTTGGTATATGCATCGAGTCTGCCAATGATGCATATGCACATGAGGAGTTGGTGGTGCTATCGGAATGGCTGTCGCAGCTGGCAGAGTGGCAGGGGCAGTTAAGGCAGCTGGTGGCACGCACTTAAGAACGCCTCTGACCTGGTGAGTGATTCGCCTGCTTGCTGTGTCTGGAACTCACCTGGTAGCACATGGGAAAGGAGGTGCTATCAAGTGGTTGCTTTAGCTGGCACAGCTGCAGGGGCAGCCTGTATTGAAATCACTTTTGAGAATTCTCAAACGTGATTTCAATACAGGGGCAGTCAAGGCAGCTCGTCTCACGCACTCATGACGCCTCTGAGCTGGTGAATCAAATTAAATGCTTCAACATGGAGCCTCGTGCTGCACGGTGGGCCTCGTAATGCTGCCCACATTGAATCCATACCTGAGTGGAGTGGTTGCCACAGCTGGCACAGCTACAGGGGCAGTCAAGGCAGCTCCTGTCACACACTCAAAATGCCTATTTTTTAGTCGACTCAAAAAAGAATGCTTCAAACCTGGTGGGTCCATTCGCCTGCTTGCTGTGTCTTAAACACTGCCTGATAGAGGAGGGAGGTGTTGTCAAATTTTTGCTTTAGCTGGCACAGCTGCAGCAGCAGTCGGGGCAGCTCCTGTCACGCGCACACGATGCCTCTCCTCTGGTGAGTGGTTCAATTGCTTGCCGTATATTCTGCTCTATTTTCTCTGATGAGACACAGTACCTGCTTGCTGTGCCGCCTTGGGATCATCCCGTGACCTAAAGCAGCACACAATTAGCATGTGTGCTGTGTGCTGCTTACCCCATCCTTCGCACTTTTGAGGCGCCTTTTGAGGCGCCTTTTGAGGCGACTTTTGAGGCGCCTTTTGAGGCGCCTTTTGAGGCGCCTTTTGAGGCGACTTTTGAGGCGCCTCAAAAGATGTGCTGCTTACCCCATGTTCGCATCATGCAGGTCTCCTATTGGTCGAACCAGCCGGCTCTTGGGACTATCCCATGTCTACAAGCAACGAACAACCTGTTCCTTGTGCCTTTGTGCTCCCTCTCCCTTCATTCTCACGTGCAGGTCTCCCATTGGTGGAACCAGCCGGCCCTTGGAATCATCCTGTGTGTCTATGATACACACGATGACCTGCACCCGCACCCCCGTCGTTCCAAACATGCAGGTCTCCTATTGGTGTAAGCAGCCGGCCCTTGGGATTATCCACTATGGTCAAGGAAGAGAAACACACAACTTGTTTCTTGTGCCTTTTTCCTCTTCTTTTTGCATGCAGGTCTCCCATTGGTGGAAGCAGCCAGCCCTTGGGATCATCCCGTGGGTGACAGTGGAAGGGAGGAGCATGGAGGAATGGGCAGTGGCATTAGAGGCGGCTCAGATGCACGGGGAAAGGTAGATTCACAATGAGAGTCAGCTTGGCTGGGAACGGTAGAGACAGAGGGAATGTCTTTTGTGTCGATTCAATAGCAAGGAAGGAGCATAGAGTGGGCAGTGGCGTTAGAGGCAGCTCAGATGCACCGGATATGTACGGTAGATGTGCAAGAACGGTAAGGCAGGGAGAGGCAGCTTGGGAGGGAACGTACCGGTATACAAGGAGTGAATGTCTTGGAGTTGACTCGCTAGTGAGGGGAGCTTGGAGGGGTAGGCAGTGGCACCATGTATGGTATGCTCAACCGGAGGGAAGATTCTGGAGGATTCTGAGCAGTCAAATACACTGCATCTTGTCTAATGTTTCTGGAGGTTGTGGTCACTGGTCTAGATGCTTCATGTTACATTTTGATATTTCATGCATGCAATTCAAGACGATGATGCGAAGTTACAATCTGTCAGTTGCAGTTGATGGAATGAATTTGAGACGCACGCCAATATGCAGGTGCCTGCTTGCAGACGTAAACGCAATGACAGGCATAACTGGCCAGGAATGTGAATCAATTGAGCCAAAGCATATCCAAAGATACAGTATTACTGGTACTGTGACCAGTCATGACCATAGACTGCTATGCAACATTGAGCAGAAACAAAAACAATCCAGAATCAGCTCATGTCCGCGTACCAGCAAGTCATGACAGTATGTCAACTGCAACTCTGGTCTTCTGGACAAAACTAGATGAAATATGTTCCCCTTCATTTTATCAGCTATGAACACCAGAAGGTTGCTATAATAGCTACGAAGGATATTTTAGAATGGACAGTGCTTGAAATGGAGTTGGTACATCCTCAACATCACCAGTCAGACGACGGCCATGGAACCGACATCTCAGGTTGACAGATTTTGACCACTCGCTGGGAGAGATGCGCATGGCGGTGTGCTGTGATTGGAAGACGTAATTCTCCTGATGCGTCGAGCACTTTCGCAGCCAGTTTCGCAAAGCAGCGGCACTGGCGCGCTGCGATTTTTTCCTTCGCCATCTTCCCCGCCAATTGGCGCGCTCGCACCACCATTCAAGAAACCTTCAAATCCTACCGGATCGTGTTTTAGACCTACTCACCTCTATCAACCGAAACCACCTGCCCGACCCATTATTCCCAGCGCCCAACGAGACCACTTCCACTCCGCTTCCCCTTGACGTCAATTCATCCCCCATCCACACAAACCCACCCACCACCCCACGCCAAACCCCCTCTTCTTCCCGGTTTTGCCCCCAATAAATCCCCCAATTCTCCGCCAAACTGAAATTCATGTGCTTCAGTTCCCCTCACATCAGGTCTCTTGAAGCACATAAAGCAGCCTCATTTTCCATCCGAATCAAGTCGATTTCTTGGAGCTGCATTTTCACGGTTCTTGCTTCCCAACGAATTTGACTACGCCCAGAAACCATGGCCGCCCTCGCCAACGCTGCCGTGCTCCCCTCCACCTTCGTCGGCCAGAGCGCTGAGCTCGCCGCCAAGGTGAACAATGTCGAGGCCCGCGTGACGATGAGGAAGACCGCCAAGGCGGCTTCCAGCAGCGCTTTCTACGGCCCCGATCGCAACCTGTTCCTGGGCCCCTTCACCTCTCCCCCGTCGTACCTGACCGGCGAGTACCCCGGCGACTACGGCTGGGACACCGCGGGTCTGTCCTCCGATCCCGAGACCTTCGCCAAGAACCGTGAGCTTGAGGTAAGTCCGATTCTCAAATGCCACAATTGAATACATTCCCCCGGGGATACTTACACATCGTACAAAATAACAACCTGCTAAATGTCGCGCACGATCCTGTAACAATATCTCACTTCTTTTTACCATTGTATATTGTTACCCGCAGGTCATCCACGCTCGTTGGGCCATGCTCGGCGCGCTCGGCTGCCTCACCCCCGAGCTCCTCGCCGGCAACGGCGTGAACTTCGGCGAGGCCGTGTGGTTCAAGGCCGGCGCTCAGATCTTCTCGGAGGGTGGCCTTGACTACCTCGGCAACCCCAGCCTGATCCACGCGCAATCCATCCTGGCCATCTGGGCTTGCCAGGTCATCCTCATGGGTGCAGTCGAGAGCTACCGCGTGGGTGGCCTCGAGGGCTTCCAAGAGGTTGAGGACCCCCTGTACCCCGGCGGTGCCTTCGACCCCCTGGGTCTGGCTGATGACCCCGATGCCCTTGCTGAGCTGAAGGTGAAGGAGCTGAAGAACGGCCGCCTCGCCATGGTGTCCATGTTTGGGTTCTTCGTTCAGGCTATCATCACTGGAAAGGGTCCCCTTGAGAACCTTTCGGAGCACCTGGCTGACCCCACCGTGAACAACGCCTGGGTGTACGCCGAGATCTTCACCCCATGAAGTGGATATTAGCTGATCCATAAAAAAAAACCTGTAATTAGTATTGTTATTTGAGAATATATTACGTGAATTTTCTGTAAATTTGTGTCACGCATTCGTACGTTTACCTTTACCAAATTGATCTGTGCCTATAACCTCAGCGAACACCCCCTACACATACCTGGACAAAACTACCTTCAGCGAGAACGGACAGAGGCAAATCAATCGTTCATAGACTGCTTCGAATCTGAAAAATCGGCTAACGCGTGTGCCAACTCAAATGTACAGGACAATCCGTGTTACCCATGTTCTCGCACAAATAAAGCTTCCAGGCGCTCTTTGCGCCTCCTCGCGACGGCAAGGAATCTACAATATGGACGACCTACAAACACGGTGAAGCAAACGTGTGACAGCAGAGAATAAATAGATATCAAGTTCATAACTAGATGAGCTAGAGTGGGAGCGCACAGACGTTTGCTACTTTGGGAACAAACGACGGTAATAATAATCTGTGCCTAGCTGCAACAGTATGGCAACTAAAAATCCTCTGCTGAGCAGAAAAACAACTTTATTTGGATTTGGTTCACAGCTTACGTACTATTCTGGGATGATTGGCAGAGATGATCAGTACCATACTTAAGAATTGCTGGTCTATCAAGCTGGCCGCGACACCAGCACCGTTGTGGAAAGAAAATGGTAGCGAGGAAATTTACATTTTTTTTTGAAATGTACATGGCTTTTTTTTCAAATTTGATTTGACAGCTTAAGCACCGGGGGTGAAGTTGGTGGCATAGGCCCACGCGTTGTTCACGGTTGGGTCAGCCAGATGGTCGGACAGGTTCTCCAGGGGGCCCTTGCCGGTGACAATAGCCTGCACGAAGAAGCCGAACATCGACACCATGGCGAGGCGGCCGTTCTTCAGCTCCTTCACCTTCAGCTCAGCAAGAGCCTCGGGATCGTCGGCGAGTCCCAGGGGGTCGAAGGCACCGCCGGGGTACAGGGGGTCCTCAACCTCTTGGAAGCCCTCGAGACCACCCACGCGGTAGCTCTCAACGGCACCCATGAGGATGACCTGGCAAGCCCAGATGGCCAGGATGGACTGAGCGTGGATGAGGCTGGGGTTGCCAAGGTAGTCAAGTCCACCCTCGGAGAAGATCTGAGCGCCGGCCTTGAACCACACGGCCTCACCGAAGTTCACGCCGTTGCCGGCGAGGAGCTCGGGGGTCAGGCAGCCGAGAGCACCAAGGAGAGCCCACCGAGCGTGGATAACCTGCAGATTGAGAAGGCAGGAGAAATTAGGGAATTCGGTCAGAACCTTCCGCGAGCGTTGTAAAGCAGCGAAGGCCAGAACAACTGGGAAGTGCTGCAAAGAAAGTCGGTGAAACATTCGAAACGTTTTAATCCGTTCAGCATTGAGCGTTCTCGCGTAAAATGAGTATGTATTGTTAGCAATGCCGGTAGGCTTACCTCAAGCTCACGGTTCTTGGCGAAGGTCTCGGGATCAGCGGACAGACCAGCGGTGTCCCAGCCATAGTCTCCGGGGTACTCGCCGGTGAGGTAAGACGGAGGGGAGGTAAAGGGGCCCAGGAACAGGTTGCGGTCGGGGCCGTAGAAGGCGCTGCTGGAAGCTGCCTTCGCGGTCTTCCTCATGGTGACGCGGGCCTCGACATTGTTCACCTTGGCGGCGAGCTCAGCGCTCTGGCCGACGAAGGTGGAGGGGACCACGGCAGCGTTGGCAAGAGCAGCCATGATGATTGTCCGGGCTGGTGAGGGAAGCTGTCTTAATTGTTGGAAGTACGGGAGACAGGATACGAGCCTCTACTTCTGCCCAACATTGAATATCTGTCGATTTATGAACCAAAATTTTGTGGGGGGGGGGGAGATGGAATCACGGATGTGCCTTGGACGTTATCTGAGTGCGAACCGCGTTATGGGCGAGTTCCCGACGCTCGGGGATCTCCTTCCCTCCGCACCCAGAATCCACGCAATCAGGGCTCAGCCAATGGCGAGGGTCCTCGTTACCGTCTGATGTTGTTTGGGATGTGGCGTGGGTATGGTTGCACCACAGCCAGTTTGCTGATGTTGCAAGAAGTTCACGGTGGGGATGTGTGGGAGTTTTTCGCTGATGTTGCGAATGCCAATGCAACACCACAGGAACACGTGGTTTCCAAAGAATGTGCTGATATTTTTTTCCTCTGACGTGGCGTGCAATCTAATTGGATGAAGCCTTTTGGCTTCCCCGTCGTGGCTTTTCGTCACTGCACCGAAAATGGATTGTGAGGAGCAAATTGCTAGGGAAGGGATGAGGTGTGGACCACGCAAAAAATTCGTGCGACTTACGACCTAATGAAATCAGTTGCGGTTTTAGATTGCACTCGGTTCAATTTCGCAGATTCATGTGTTTTGGGGTTTCCTTGTGGGTTGAACACGGTTTGCATTACACTACTGGGGTGTAACACGAGTAGGTCGGTTGTGGGGTGGGACGCAGTGCGATGAGGCAAGCTGTTAGGGAGTGGTGAGATGAGGCAAGCTGAGGTGTATGAGCAAGCCGAGTTGCGGCGATGCTGATTGCTGATAGTGTTTCACGGATGGTTTGTCAGTGCGGGCCCCAAGGCAAGCATAATCCTGGATAGGAGAACCAAGTCATCGAACCAAAACTAATTTTCGCAACCAAAACTAATTTGCATAATGATGCACATTCCTGTGTTTGCTTCGTTTTCCCACGTTCAAAAGCGTTGAAGCCTGAATTCCGACTTCCAACATCATCCCCACGCATTCTCATCAGTCGCCATGAAAGCTCA